AAAAAATACAGCTTTTCCCCCCCTTGTACATAGTTATTGTTTTTTTTTATTGGAAATCTAATTCCATTAACCAAACTTTGTCTGCTATGTTCATCTTTCCTCCCTTTTCTTTCTTTGTCTCCTTTTCTTGCTTCTGTTACCACATGTTGTTAACAGTTTGAGCTTTGAAATCGGGCAAACCTGGGTTCAAATCCTAAATCCACCACTTAAGAGCTGGACAATGTTAGAAGAGTGACTTGACTTCTCAGAGCCTCAGTTTCCCAACCTGTGAAATGGGAATGACACTTGTAGATTTTCCTGTATTGCTAAAATGAAATGCCTGTTGTTACATATAACATTTACCCTATTGCTGGCATGTGGGAAGCCTTCAATGCACGTTAGCTATTGTTTTCACAGTTGTAGCAAGTGACAATTTTAGCTTTGGCACATGAAACAGAAAAGCAAAACAAAAAGATAATCCTTCCCCAGAAGTTTTGAATCTTGTAATACAAACATGGTATGTGAGTGTGCATATATGTTTAAATATATAGTTAGAACTCTGACAAAGCAGCTTGTTTTGATGAGAATACTTGGCACTTTAAGAATGATCAACATTCCCGAAACTTCTGTGGCCCAGATTCTTGTATTTCTGAGGATAATTGATTCATATCATTGCCGTTTTTAAAAGTCTTCCCAGAGCACTCAAGTTTGTAGGTTAAACTATTGGAATAATTTCTTTCTTTATGGCTTGTATTTAAAAATATAAAATTATATTCATAGTGATAATACATAAATATAACGAAAACAACTACTGTTTACTGAACACCTACCATATACCAGCCTGTGTTAAGCACTTCATGGGAAATATTTCCTTTTTTTTTTTTTTTCATTTTTTTTAATTTCCAGTAATTATTTCTTCGCTAAAATATTTCCTTTAATCCCTACACTTCCCCTTGGAAGAAGGCAGTGTTATTTTTATCTCCATTTTATGAGAAAACTGAGGCACAGCAATGTGAAATACCTTGCCTGGGTCACCTGTTAAATAAGTGGGGGGTTAAGAGTCAAAGCCGGGTCTCTCTGCTCCACAATCCAAGTTCTTAACAGTTACACAAAGATGCCGCTGGGAATAAGCTCTTGATGTGTATCTAGGTAAAATGACATTCTTTAAAAAAACGACTACAGTACAAAATATTTTTTCTGCACTGAAGAGATCAAATTTTTCAACTCTATCTTCTAAATATTTGGGAACTGCCAGTTTCATTCTTACTTGATTTCTTTTTATCTTCCTTAAACTCTTCTTTTTTTTCTTTTCATGAAAAGTAAACTCCCTTTGGTATGTCATCTTTTTTTTGTATGCTTTATGAGAAAAGTTTTTATTGAAACCATATTTCAGATGGGCTTCTCCCAAGATTTTTCACAGGAACTGAAAGCTTAATTTTGGTCTTCTAGAAGGAACTTTTTATTCTTTCCATAATAATATGAAGATATAATGCAATAATGTTTGCATTATTCATTGTTTGCAATAATGCAAGCAATCCCCATCTTTGCAAGAGTGTACAGCCTATAGCTCCAACGGCTGTTCTTCCTAATCACTCACAAAGATTGGTTGTGTGTGTGTATGCTTGTATTAGAACATGTTTTATTTGTTTGTTAATGTTTATCTAAGGTCTCAAATGACTGTCATCTCTTTTTTCCAAGTGGATTTTTGCCTTCACTTTTTTTGAGAAGACAAAGTGTTTGTGGGTGTTTTTCATTTCTGCCCAGCTCCTTAGAACTCACATTTTATTCTCTTTGCCGTCTTCCCTCCCATCCTAAATGCCTGCTAGACAGACTTGAAGAGCTTGGAGACAGCTTCCCTATGGGAGGATTGATTGCTACTAATTGACACGTGAAACAGGTATTGACGGAATCCCCGGAATTCGCTCCAAGTCACTGAGTATATGCTCAGTTTAAACTGGCCTAAGTTAGAGGAAGGTGATTTATTGGCTCATGTAATGCTAAAGTTCAGCTTCAGGCACAGCTGGATCCAGACGTGTGATATAATTGGGCATCTGCTCCCTGGATTTCCTGGCTCTGCTTTCATCTGTGCTGGTCCTCAAGTGTACGCCCTGTTAGTTTGCCAACCCAAGCACAACCAGTACAATTCTGCTCTAAGGAGTTTATCAAAAGTCACAGGATTGGCCGGGCGCGGTGGCTCACGCCTGTAATCCTAGCACTCTGGGAGGCCGAGGTGGGCGGATTGCTCGAGGTCAGGAGTTCAAAACCAGCCTGAGCAAGAGCAAGACCCCCGTCTCTACTATAAATAGAAAGAAATTGATTGGCCAACTAATATATATAGAGAAAAAATTAGCCGGGCATGGTGGCGCATGCCTGTAGTCCCAGCTACTAGGGAGGCTGAGGCAGAAGGATCGCTTGAGCCCAGGAGTTTGAGGTTGCTGTGAGCTAGGCTGACCCCACGCCACTCAGCCCAGGCAACAAAGCGAGACTCTGTCTCAAAAAAAAAAAAAAAAAGTCACAGGATTTATTTTTATTAGTCCTTCTTAGGTCATGCGCCCACCTGGGAGGTGAGCGTCTTAGCAAGGGAAATAGAAGCCCCAAGTGATAGATTTGAGTGAGTACCCACCCAAGTTTGGGGACCAGAGCTTCAGTTATCATGAAAATACCATCTAGAAACTCAAAGTTCTTACAAAATATCAAACACTTTACCCATTCTCTGATATCGTGAGCTACTGTTTGGATCTGCTATAATCTATAAATGTGTTGAAGTCTAGTCCAGATACCTGGATATAAGGAATTTATCCTTTTTTCAAAGCAGTATATTGGCACGTTCTTAAAAGTCTGTCCATGGGAAGGGTTTTCGTTGTTGTTGCTGTTTTTCAAAGACTTCTCTGGCTGTAACACTCTTACTTACCACTAGCTCCTTCGGTTCCCAGCCAGGGGGCAAGGAAGAGAGGAAAAAGACTGAAAGAAATCAGTTGATGCTCTTGGCATTTTGAAAAGCCTTTCCTTGTTTCAAATCTTAGCCTCTCCCTTTTTGTCAACAATTTTCTCTTCTCCTGGAATGGACCAGCCCCAAGATTCATTTGTATTCACTCTGACACTCCCACCGCTCACCTCCTTATTCTCCCCCTCCATTCTTTAGTGTACTACCTACTACTGTTATGAATTCCTGGACCCCAAGAAAAAGGTTAAGAAGAGGTAGAAGGTACCGCCATTGTGCTGGCAGGGTGATTTCCTTGAGGTCCAGGTTTATGGGTTGTTCTGGACCATTTCTTCTCTGCTCCTCAGTGCTTACCGGGGAGCCGGCCATTCTGCACAAGAACCTAGCTCTCCCTCTCTCCTTGCTTGCTTGTTCCTGACTCTAGATGTTATGTGATACTAGAGTTTAGCAAAAAATTGATTGCTAACTAATGCATATGTGTGTGTGTGTATTCTTCACTACATATTAATAAGCAATATGTGCAGATCAAAGAAATCTCAATTCTTTCTTTTTTCTCGCTGTCTTTCTGCAAACAGACATTAAGAAGTGTCTGACTACAAATGTATCAAGCAAAATGCAATGTTGTCAAAGGCATGGGAGAAACCTTAAAAATAATCACACTATCTGTCAATTGTTAAGCATCTACTATGGGAAAGGCATTGTGCCACAACCTTTGCATGCATTTTCTCCGTTAAGCATTACAACAATCTGCAAGAGAAACACTAATATTCCCATTTTACGAACTAGGAGATTCAATGATTTTTAGTGATTATCCAAGATCATACAGCTCATCCATAGAGAATCTTGATCGTTAACTGTGATTCTAAAATTCTTGGTATTTTTTTTTTCCTGAGTATTGCACTATTTTGTAAAAGGGACCTAGAACAGACGGCAGTTCAATTAGGTCAAGGCAGAGGTCAAAGCAGAAATGGACGTTGAAAACAGTGCCCCTCCCTGGAGGAAGCGACATGACATCCACAGACTCCATCTGGGGGGGCTAACCCTGTGCCTTTCATTCCACGCCCACCCGAGGGCCAATCTGCCTTCTTGGGTGGACATCTGCTCTTTCAGCCTTCAAAAGAGAAACTTTCTGAGTACTGTTTTACTTTCTTAAATCTTCCAGTATTTTTAACAGTCTATGCTGATACAAACATCATAGTAGACAGAGAGAGCATGAATTTCAGAGTCAGAATTTCTGCCTTAAGCCAGACTCTGCTACTTACCAGCTTGCTGGGCAGCCCTGGGAAGGTGAATTGACCTCTCTGACTGTCAGTTTTCTCACTCTGAATAATGACAATAGCTAACACTGGTGACATTTATGGAGCACTTAGTGTATGTCAGGCACTGTCCTATGTACTTTAAGAATATTAACTCATGTAACCTTCATAACAAAATTACGAAGTAGGTTCTATTATTTGCTTCATTTTAGCAGAAATTTGAGGTACAGAAAGTCAGACAATTCGGATTCAAGTAGCTGTTGTAGCTCAGTGGCTTCTCCAAGGTGAGTGATTTTGTCCTGCAGGGGACTTTAGCCATGTCTGGTTGTCACGACTGGAAGATGCTACTGGCATCTGGCTGGTAGAGGCCAGGGATGCTGCTAGACACCCCGAGGTGCACAGGGCGGACCCCGTAACAAAGAATGATCTGGCCCCAAACGTCAATAGTGCTGAGGCCGAGAAACCTCGTTCTAGCTCCAGAGCTCCTCACCCCCGCCCTGCCTCAAACTCGAAACCCTGACGTTGTGCTTCGCGCAGGGTTCCCGTGGAGATAAAATAATAGATAGTTAACACTGAGCGTCTCTCCTGCAGCACCTGCAGCCAGTAACTTCCCAATCACGGGCTTTCCCGAATCGCCAAGCTCCTGTCCCGAGGAGACCGGGGTGAGAAGCCGTCTGCAGGGCGCACTTCTGCTCCGCTGACCGGAGAACAGCACAGGCCCCGTTTGCATTGCGGCCCTTGCACACAGAACGTCTGGAGTCCATTATTAGCCCTTGCATTTCCCAGCTTGGCTGAACAACCGCTGTTTATGTTTGCGTTCACAGTCGACTTGGGGATAAGCGTGAGGACGGATAATGCGGCCACTTCTTCCCCCGGGACGACGGAGACGAGTGCCGGGGCGGATGCCAGCGGGAAGAATCTTGGGAAGGAGGCCAGCCCCAGGGCACCAGCTGCTCAATCTCGTTTCTTCTTGACGCTCTCTCGGCCTGTACCAGGACGTGCCGGAGACCGAGCCACGGATTCATGCACTGCACCAGTGGGGCTTGATGTCAGCCCCAGCGGAGCCCGGGCGGACAAAGGCCCGAGTGAGCGCCCGGCGCTTCCGGCCGCAGCTGCGGCGGGCCCGGGCGCGGATAAAAGCCAGGAGCCCGGCCCGGCCCGGGACACGGCCCCGGACCCCGCGCCACCGCCGCAGGGAGCAGCCCCCTCCAGGCCCAGGGACCCCGGCTTCTTCGACAGACTCTTCAAACTGGACAAGGGACGGGAACAGGTGCCGGTGGACAGCCTGCAGGGAGCCGAGCGGGCAGAGCACCGAGACGAGCTGGGCGCGGCCCCCGCAGTGTCAGGGCAGGCCGAGGATGTCCCTGCAGGGCAGGTGAGTGTGCCAGGGGCCGAGTGCGCGCTCGGGGCGCCCATGGGGGGAGGCCACTGCACGCATACCCGGTCGCCGGGAGCACCAGGCTCCATGGCAAGCCGTTGACCCTTCTAGAACAGAAAAGCACACTGCGGCATCCAGTCCCCCACAGAAACTTGGGTTTGGAGAACAGTGACAGCTGCCGCATCTGTTTTAGGTAAAATAAAAGAGGAAGTGAGCTGCGTACAGACGGATGCAGTCCTTCCATTTCTTCAAAGGCAGAAGCAGACAGGTTGCATTTCCCATCGTGAAGTCTGGCGGGAAAGACATTAGTGGGACAAAAATTGTTCCTAAGAGACCTGCCTGGTGTCTCGTAGTTTGTTGACATGCCGCATGGTACAGGCTGTAGGTGGGACACCTTTCATTCCTTACTCTTAAGAGCCTGGATTGATCTTTAACTATCTTTTGCACTGAGGTGTGGGTTTGCATAAAGAGCTTTTACGGCTCTGGGCAGAGTCTTTTGTGCACTAATTATTTTCCAACAACACGCACGGAGTAATACCTTTGTGAAAACTTAATTTTTTTTTTAAGGAAGAATATCCTGAATCAGTTGCTTTCTTTTCTGAGCCAAGAGAGGCAAGCTCTTTTTTGACATTAAAGAAAACATTTGCTTTTAACCTTGAGAGAGCTTGTTTATATTCAGGCCAGGAGAAGAACTCCTTAAATCAAGAAAGAAATAAAACTTGATACATTATATTTTTAAGGGACCCGTTTTCTTGGTTAACAGACTTTTAAATAATATGATTTCTTCAGAACTTGGGAATACAGTTAAGTGCCTCTAGTTGAATTTAGAACTAGGAAAATAATTAGATAGGCTCAGCTTTTTTATGACATCGTTGTGTATCACTGCTGTCAATGTATTTGTCTTGATGCCAACATGCTATGCACTGCCAAGATGCTAATGATAACACGGGCTGTCATTTATTCAGCACTTACGCTATGCCAGGCTCTGTTTTACGCACATGAATTATTGTCCTTAATGAAAATGAGCATCACATTAATCTGCAGTTTTAATGTATCCAGGGTGGCATCAAGAATTATATTGTGAATATTGTACACCAGCTGAAAACTCTGGTCAGTTAAAATTGGGAAAAGATCATGAAACTGATGTGTTTAGGCTATTACTATCAGCATTCTTACTGTTTCCGTACATTTTGACTCAAAGAGCTTATTTTCAGAATTTCTTTTAGAAGTTTAAAAAATTTTCCTTCAAATGCCCACTTTGCAAAATGTGCCAATTCAAGAAGCCGGTTGAATAGCTTTCTGTATAGTTCAAAAGTAAGTCTGGGCCGGGCGCAGTGGCTCACGCCTGTAATCCTAGCACTCTGGGAGGCCGAGGCAGGAGGATCGCTTGAGGTTAGGAGTTCGAGACCAGCCTGGACAAAAGCGAGACCTTGTTTCTACTAAAAATAGAAAGAAATTAGCTGGACAACTAAAAATATATAGAAAAAAAATTAGCCGGGCATGGTGGTGCATGCCTGTAATCCCAGCTACTCTGGATGCTGAGGCAGGAGGATTGCTTGAGCCCAGGAGTTTGAGGTTGCTGTGAGCTAGGCTGACACCACAGCACTCTAGCCCTGGCAATAGAGTAGACTCTCTCTCAAAAAAAAAAAAGATTGATTTGAAAAAAAAAGTAAGTCTGGCAATGCATCCGGGCATCTGTTCTTCACCGTGTGACACTGTTCCAGGCACAGGTGAGGCACAGGGACCACAGCACTGGACAAGACAGGGTTTCTGACAGCGTGGAGTTTGCTGTCCAGCGAGGGAAGACGAATAAATAAACCTGCAATTGCAATGCAGGGTGCCAAGAGCTCTGCTGGGGAAGCAGAGTGTTGGGAGGATGCCCAGGCTCGAGGAGAATTAGCCTGGCTTGCCCAGGGAACATTCCATCAAACATAAAAACTAAGAGCCTGAGAGTTACTTGTCTGGGGGTTTATAACCCAGACAACGGTGTTATAACTGGTCATTAATATTCATGACTATTTGAGAAACTGTGTGCTACTTGTGCTTGCATGGACAAACTCTTGCTGAGTTCTCATAATTGGTCGTGGGCTCCTAAAGCCATTCTGAGGTTGTGATTTTTTAACAGTCATGTGTTTCTTTTGCCTGAGCTTCTAAAGCCAATCCACTGCCTGAGTTAGGAGAAGATGGAGTTATTTATGAGGAAGCAGTGAAGGACTGCGCCTTACCCGTCTTTGGACAGGTGTCTAGTGACCCATCCAAATCCCCATCTTCATTAAGTAAACCGGTTCAGCATCTGATAACCAACCCTCAGATGTATTTAGCCATAAAACCCCAACACACTCAATCTATTTCTAGTCTAGGAAAAGTTTTAGAGTTGTACTTTATTAACTCAGCTTCCTTTATTGAAAAAGAACTCTTAGGGACAGTACTTCCATTTGAGGGGAATGAGTTCCAAAATGAGATTTGTGTCATAAGGGGCAGGGATTGTGTTGGGAACAGGCAGGTACCTAACAGAGCCAAGCCCATGGGTAATATTTTGAGGTTATAATAATCTCTCAAAGACCCAAAAAAAATGGTAACCTGTCTTCCTTCCTGAATGAGTGAGTTAGCCCCCTCAGATTCACCAATGAAATCTGCATCTGATATTGTTAGACTACAAATTTCCAGTTTTCATTGGCGGTATCATCAAAATTTGAAATATGGGCCGGGCGCTGTGGCTCACGCCTGTAATCCTAGCTCTTGGGAGGCCGAGGCGGGCGGACTGCTCAAGGTCAGGAGTTCGAAACCAGCCTGAGCAAGAGTGAGACCCCGTCTCTACTATAAATAGAAAGAAATTAATTGGCCAACTGATATATATAGAAAAAATTAGCCGGGCATGGTGGCGCATGCCTGTAGTCCCAGCTACCCGGGAGGCTGAGGCAGAAGGATCACTTGAGCCCAGGAGTTTGAGGTTGCTGTGAGCTAGGCTGACGCCACGGCACTCACTCTAGCCTGGGCAACAAAGCGAGACTCTGTCTCAAAAAAAAAAAAAAAATTTGAAATATGGAATGCCCACTGTATACTATATACTTATAAAACATGGAAAAGTTGTGAAATAGCCTTTTCTCCTTCAGCCTGTGAACTTGTGGATATTCAAATATCTGCAAGGATTTTTAACAACAACAACGAAAAAAAAAAATAAAACAGCCTTCTGATTATCAAGTTTCTCATCCGATCCCTGGATTCACATTATTTGGAGGAAAAACCCAATTGTTCCATAAGTGTATTAAGAAAATCCAGCCCTCAGAAAGTAACATGAATAAAACTTGGCAATCAGTGGCTTTCTTGGTGGGAGCACAGCATTATGTACTGATGGCCGTCAGTGTATCGATTCAGAATTCTCAGGGTAAATCATGCCTTGGGCTTGACGGTGTCAGCTGCCCCTCAACACACACCCGCCCCTCCCCCCAGTTGCACTGCATGCTCCTGGCTGGTTTGGAATTCCAACCACAAACCCACAGAGCTGTGAATTGGGAGAAAGATGCCACCATTTCATTCTGGGGGAAACACAGAAATCTTCTGTGTTTTCAGAACGACAATCTTATTTTTGTGCCTTATAAAACTACATTCAGAGCATAGCATAATTAAAACAAGGCAAGAATTCATGAACAAATGAAGCATTTACTACATAGGCCAAAGAAAAGATAAATTATATGCCTGAAAGGTTTCACTGAGCTGTGATTCACACAAACCAATGTGTTGGCAGGGATGAGATTTTTTTTTTTTCTTTTCCCCCAACAACTGAACCATAGCTATAAGATATGCATTGAGAAAACTCATCACACACACATAAAAAAATGATCACATAATGAAAATCTGACCTTTCTTGGTTAAAAAAAAAAAAAAAAAACCCACGAAATTTCTGTTATCAATGCACTGTTTCCAGAAGTGTCTTTGTGTTGTGTAAAGTGTTGCTGTGTACAGATTCATAAGACTGACTTAGAATGTTCCTTTTCTTTTAAAAATTTGATTAAATGCTGCAGTTGTCATTTAAGCACCAACCTTGTGCAAGGCCTTTGAAAGATAAATCATGTTCCTAGTCCTTCAAGGAGCATGTAATCTAGTAAGAGACATAATTTTTTAGGGGATGTTGTGATAAGTGTGTTGGTCCTCAGATTGGCTCAGACTACAGATGGTAACAATATTCAGTGTTGTTGCTTCTCCTCTTCTTTTCTCTCTTGAACACTAGCCATCCAGGTTTCTGTCAAAGTCTGCGTGATGTTGCACCTCCCCCCGCCCCAGCTGCCAAATCCAATAAGTCTCAGTCCTTGTCCTACTAGATCTGGCGTTCTGGTCGAATCTGATGCAGTGGGCCACGCCTTCCTTCTTGAAATGACATCCCCCACCTCCCTGGCCACTCCTCCTTAATCTCCTTTGCTGGACCTTATCCTTCAAATGTAGGACTTCCCCAGGGTTCAGTTCTTGGACATCCTCTCTGACTATCCCTACTTCCCTGAAGATCTCACCCAGCACCATAGGTTTAAACAGAGCTATGCGCTGACAAGTCCCAGGTTTGTAGCTCTAGCCTAGATCTGCCTCTGAAGTCCAGACCTGAGTATCCAGCTGCCTCCTCTTCCGCATGTCTGCTTGAATTTCTGCATCTCTATCCAAATGTTCGCTGAGCAGCTCAACCTCAGTATGCCCAAAACTGAACTATTCCTTCACCCCCTAACAATAACAAGAGCAAAATGCCCACCAGGTTAATTCACAGGGCTCCCATGTCAGTTCATGACAACTCCGTCCTGCCGCTGCAGTTGGTGGTAGAATTGGAATGAAAAAACCAGGGTCTCTGAGTCCTTTTTTTCTACATGGGATTAAGTAGTAGATGAAAATAGCCTTGCAGTCAAGTGTGCTCGGTTTCCACTCTGCCTTTGCCACTGTGTAACCCGGGGCCAGCTTCTCAGTCTCTCTGAGCCTCAGTTTCCTTATCTGAAAAACGAAGATGATAGTATCCAGCA